AGGACTCTTTTGCCAGCTTTAGCCAGAATCGCAGCTGAGGCCAGACCCCCAATGCCACTGCCAATCACCACGGCATCCAGCTTCTCTGGTACTCGGCTGGCTGAGAATGCTGGAGAAGGGAGGAGACAGAGGGTGGGATTCTCAGACAAGAGCAGGGAGGCAGAGAAGTCAGAGAAGCCAGAGGGGAGGTATCTAGCTTATAGTATGTGAGAACCCACTAAGGCAAACTGGGCCTGCTGGTGCACTACTGGGATTCCAGCACTTGGAAGGTGGGTTAGGAGTTCAAGGTCATCCTCAGTTTTACAGATGACTTGCAGGAGAGCCTGGGCTCATTAGAGCCAGTGTCAAAAACAGGACAGAAAGAGAGACTGACCCCTCTCTAGGGCACTTTAGCAGAGAACTCTTGATTAATATGGCTCGAACCTTTTTTCCAGGGAATACTCATTCCAGGCAGGCAGATTAAACGGTGATGAGATGGGTCTTAATCCTACTATGTACCTGAGAATTTTCGTACCTTTCAAAGAAAGTAGGAAGCAGCTGACTACTGTAGAAAAAACTGGAAAGAGAGCAAGAGCACAGGCATTGTAATCTAAGTGCAGACATTTCTGTGAATGCGAACACGGAAAGAAAAGAACACGGGGAGGGAGGAGCCTGTGCTGGGGGCTCTGGGAACTCGGGTTCTTTGGAAGAGGCAGGGTCTGTGAATGCCAATGGAGCTGGGGCAGGCAGGGCTGCTCAGACCTGTTACTCTGAGAGTCACAGCACCAACCTCACACTGGTGTGGCGGTCACCTGACAGGACCAAGCTAGAAAGCTCTTCCAACACAAGACCTGAGTTTGTTGTTTCTCCTGCTCTCTTCCTTCATTTCCCCTTACATTCTTTCCTTTCCGGGATTCGTTGATGTGGGTTTTCTGGAGAAAGGGTTTCACTGTGTAGACCTAAAGGCCTGAACTCCCCGTGTAGAGATCCACCTGCCTTTCCTCCCTACATGGGGTTACAGGAATGTGCCTCTAGGTCCAGACATCTGTTCATTAAAAATCCCTGCCCAGGGCAGATGCAGGGGCGCACAGCTTCACTTGTGGCACTCAGAGGTAGAGGAAGAAGACTCTCAGTGAGTTCAAGGCCAGTCTGGTTTATTTAGAAAGTTGCAGTACAGCCTGGGCTACTAGAGAGATAGTGTCCCCCCAAAGAGTTCACTGCTCAGGCCCTTGTGGCTCACATCTGTAATCCCACCTTCTGTAATCTCTTTCTTATGGCAGGAGAACATTGTGAATTTGAAGCACAGTTGGCCCACATAGCAAGTTCTAAGTTAGCTTGGGCTACAAGTATGAGATCTTAGCCCCTCCCCAAATCCGCAAACAATAACAATAATGAAATACCTGGATTAGTACACTTTAGGAAGTAGACACTCAAGAATTAGGAATATATGGTCAGTCCCCAGTAAATAAATAGTGAATTGTGGTAGCCTAGGCTGAAGTTTACAAACAAGAGTCAAACAGGAGATCCTTGTTTGTTTTTTGAATGATTTGCATTGAGTGTTTTGGTTATTTGTTGTTTGTTTAGACAGAGTCTCATTGTAGTCCAGCCTGGAATTGCTAGTTTGCACCACTATGCCCAGCCCCAATACTTCTTTAGAATCTGGAAGGCTGGGTCCCTGCTTGTAATCCCATCATTTTGTAGTCAAAAGCAGAAGGGTTCCTCTGTGTTTGAGCCTCAGCTTCATGGTAAGTTTGAAGCCAGTTCCAAGCCAAAAGTTAGACACAAAAACCAAAAACCTTGGGAGGAACTCTACTCATCTACATCAGAAGTCGTGATGACTGGAGATTAGTGTTCTTATCCCTAAGCGGTAATGAAACTGCGAAAGTTTATAAAGCTTCAATCCTATGAACTGGGACTACACTTTGCCTGTCAACCCGCTTGTTGAGAAAATTTTCTGTGCTGCTTCCCATAACGAGAGTTTGCACAGGAGCATAGGAAAAAGTTGGTTCTAGAACTAAGTAGGTGAAAGGTCTCTTACTCTGTGTCAGCTGTTATCTGAAGAGATTCCAACTGGAAGGACTCAGACTAGGTTATGCCCACATCTTGGTATGCCAAGGGTAGTGCCTGCACCAAAAACTTCAGGAGCAAAGAATACTAAGACGTGGAGGTTCCGTGTGCAAGTGAGTGTTCCCAGCACTTTTCTAATGGGCAGATAGGTCTGTTCCCTGCATGAGAAGACCTAAGAGCAGTCCTGGAACCCACAGTCCCTCCAGCTGACCTTGTTTAAGAACCTTCTTCCTAGCCTCCTTGTCGGTCACCAGGGGTTCAGATGGCCGCTTGACGTCCTCAGCGAAGGGGTTCGGGGAGTTTCTACTGAAGAGACCCAAGTAAACCCTGCGGAGACCCGCCAGCAGCAGCGCGGCCAGCAGCAGCAAGGTGTGCCACATCTTGCAGCCTGAGCTTCGAATAAGGCGACTTCTCTGTCTGGGTCAGCTTTTATGTCGGAAGCTCCGCTCCAATAGTTTGTCATTAGAGAAACACCAAGCAAACCGGTCCTACGAACTTTGACCAATGCCGACGCAAAGCTGATCTTGAAGGTCCATCTTCGCCCTTCGTTTGACGCAGTTTCAATTGACTGCATGGAAACTTTGTTCCTGCTCAGGCCAGGAGACACTTAGCACCTGCGTGATGAGGCTCCATAGGCTATGCGGTGACCCCTACTAGTAGGTTGGCACTGTGTCTGATGAGCCAGGGGGTTGTGGTGAGGAAGATGCAGGTGAGGGAGACAATGTGGGATGGAAATGATCACTACTGGGCAGGACAAGGCTGAAAGTTGCAGGTCTGAGGGCGATTCCCCTGGGAGGCAGAGAAGACCTGGGTTCTGGTGCCAGTTCTGTGATGGGTTCGCTAAAACCTCAGAGGCAACTCATTGCTTTTTTCTACTTTCCCTTACAGGCAATGAGAAAGTTTTTGTCCCCGAGTCCCCACACAGCCTCTGCCTGTCTGGATTTCATGAAGTGAGAGCCCTGTAGAGAGTCGTGAAAGCACTCTCCTGAATCTGTCGCTCACTGCAGAATTCTGGTCCATGAAGTTGCCCCTAACCGCAGTTCCTTGGACAGGACCTCTAAGTTCAGAGCCACAGGGAACAAGACTCAAGAAAGACCACCAGGGATCATCATGCCCTTGTGTCCATTTCCATTTAAGGATAAACCAGCTTCTAAATGACCTCTTTAAGTTAGCTCCAGAGGACAGTGTAGCTATCCTGCCCTCTTAACGTTGCCCTTTGAGAAAAGTAGGTCCGAGATAAGTACTTGATTTGAGACTGTTTTTATAGGAAGCCCATTTCCTCAAACACCAGCCATCAGGAGGAAGGACTTCACAAGTGAGGATTTTGTCCCTTTCACAGGCCCCAGCAGCGCTCCAGTCGCCCACTGAAAGCAGGGCATGCCTCTGTGATGCTTGGTTTGTTTCCCACACAGTGAGAGGAAAACCTTCCTGAGCCTGCCCAGCAAACCTACCTGTGCCCCTGCCAGGTTAGCCGGTGTGTGTGTGTGTGTGTGTGTGTGTGTGTGTGTGTGTGTGTGTGTGTGTGTGATCCTGTGCTGCCATCCAGGCCAAGATGGGAGGAAAGGAAAAGAGAGGTGAATCCTCCTGCACCTTGGTGATGGCACAAAGGGACTGTTTGCTTACTTGTAGCCTGCATGGCTGCCAAGAAGGAAGGCAGAGGTAGAGCACGTGGGCCTGTGGCACTCCTGGGAGCTTTGGAGCTCAGACCATCGAGTCAAACCCTTTCCAGAGCCTGAGGACAGGCTCGTCTGAACCAGTGATCTTGAGGCATGAATGAGAGATCTTGCTCTGTTGGGACCGAGAACAAACTACGAGATGGACAGGTGAGAGCTCCTGCTCAGAGAAGGAGGTGCTGTTTGGAGGCTACACTGTTAATGAGACAGACAATGTGGAGTTTTAGAAATATTTAGGGGAAATGATCGTATATCTATATTCTTGGAGACCATAGGCTGAAGGTGTAGTTCAGCAGTAAAGCAATTGCCTAGCGTGCCTGTAACAGTAGGTTCTATTTCCAGGATCAGACAGACAGTCACACAGACAGACAGACAGACAGACAGACAGACAGACAGACAGACATAGTCAGGCAATTTTAAGCCACCATTGTGGAACATCTGTGATGCTAACACTTGGAAGATAGAGACAAAAGGATCAGGAACCCTAGGTCTTTCTCAGCTACAGAATGAGTTTAAGGTCAGCCTGGGATCCTTTGATTCTGTCTCAAAACCAGGAGATTCTTTCCAGGTGTAGGTGGTTTTTTGTTTCCTAAGTGATTTAAAGATTCTTGGTTCCTCTTGCTTGTGTTGTGGAATGGGGTTGGTGTTTGAAATTCACTAAGAAATCAGTATTGCTTGGACTTACATCAGTTAATTTAGTATTCTCTTCCTTGTCAATCACTGGCTTTGGCTCACTGTCTTCCTTAGCTTTTGAAAAGCATTAGAACATCTTTCTTGAAATTTTCTCTTTTTTATAACTTGAATCTGTGGTTCTTGATTGTGAATTTTATAGATGACAGTGTCTGTTGTAAGGTTGAAAGGTTAGACATGCCTGCATGTTATTGCAACCCTTGATCATCTAGCTAAAAAAAATTATCACATATTTTGATCTTTGATAACCTAAGCACTGAAACAATTTCTCAGAATAGTTCATATGCCATTTATTCATATGTATTAGGGTTCTCTAGAGGACAGAACTGATTGTGCGTTGCATTGCGTGCGTG